CCCCAAAACCCCAAAACCCCAAAACCCCAAAACCCCTTTGAGATGAATTAAGAAGAGAATATAGAAATAGTAAATCAATGAATAGAAATATAAGATTTATGAAATTAGTCGAATAGTTAATATTAAGGTCTTATATATAATCACTATTTATTAGAAATGGTCTGTAGTCACGTTATTGGAAGACTTTATACAGATAGATAACTATCAGATACTCTTAAATCATTGAATGAAAGTTTGCTTTAACTAAGTTATTCTTTACCGGGGTAATTTACATTAAGATTTGAATTCGGAAGCTTTTCTTACGATTAAGATATTGATTCAGTTGATGGTTTTGCAGGTTAAATTTTCAATGGGGGGCTACTGGGCATAATGTTTATTTTATTATCTGACTATTTCCCATTTAGTATTTGTAAAGTATCAGAAATCATTTATGTATCTACATTTTATCTAAGTGGCTTGGATGATTAAAATTTGTCTACATTAAATCTTGGAGTTATCATAGATAATATCTCCTCAGATTCTATTTATATTTATTGCTTTTGATTTTTATTTTCTTTCTCATGATCGAACCCTGCATTATCAATGTTATTCAAAAAGTCTAAAATAAGTTCAAGATTATCTCTAACTCCTAATGATTTAAGTTTCTAGGCAGCTTATTATTCATCCATAAGAAGTAATTCATCTATCAACTTCTAAATTTCATTATCATCTATTGAGTTAAATGATTTGCTCTAATCGACTTCACATTATTCTTCATTTTCTGATTAAACTAAATTTTCCTTAAATCAAACGTGCTTTTAGATTTATGAATTTTCTCTGGTATATGGATTATTTTATTTCAAGTTACAAAGTGTATTTTAGCTAGTTAACTGATTATTTCTAGGCTATATTGAAAAATCAGTAGATTGTTTATAGGACTCCTTGTAATTATAGTTGCGACTGCTATCATCTATCTCAAAGAAAGAGGGTTATTTAAAGAATATTTCAATTTTATTTTTTAATTCAATCATTGACCCTTTTTCTAAGCTTCTGTTAACTTCAGTATTATACTGAAAGTTTTAAGGTTAAACTTTGTTAGTTCTGTTCATATTCGGTTAACTATCATTATGTTAGGATGATTTTATAGGTTTAAGACAGCATTTAAACATTTCAATAATACCCTCTAATATAATATAAGTTAAACTTTAAAATATTATAAAAATTTTGCCTATATCAAACTATTAATTTTATTTTATTTCATGATTTTCTTATTTTCTAATACTCCTACTCAATATGGGGTTTTGGGGTTTTGGGGTTTTGGGG